GGATCCGGATCATTAAACGAGTCCTTACCCGACCCAAAAACATCCGAGGGTAATACGGTATTTTCACGTTAAATTTAAATATCAAGGCCCAAAAAGGACAAGATGGTAATTTGCCACAATTCGCTAAATTGAGACTCAAAGGGTATAATAGTCCTTTACTTGTACCACATAATAAATAAAATAAGGTTGGGGGCAATATAGTCTTTTGGGTGGTTGAAATATAATTATTTCATTTTGGTGAGTCATAAAATAATTACGTGTAACATTACTTAGGTGCCAAAGTGAAATTTTAATAACTTAAAATTGCAATTACATAAGAGATAGAAACTGGTCGATGAATGTACATTATACGTTGACTAGTTTGGGTTATGAACAGTGAAAACCCTGTCGACATATGGGAAGTCATACGTCAACTGGTTTGGAACGTGTGCAACAATGACCTACCCTGCCAAGATACCGGTCGACGTATGGGAAGTTACATGTCGACCGGTTCTGGGAAATTCTCACTTCCACTTCCCACTGTCCAATGTAAACCCATGTACACCAACATTTGGTAATTAACTACCCACACCATTACATTCACGTACATATTTAGATACATTTCAACACTAAATTACAGTATTAACCACCACATTTTTAACATAATTTGCCACACTTTACTTAAATACACAAAAGGATTAAGAGTGAGTAAAACTTAATTTACATTGCTCAATGGCAATGAACCTAACATAGTTATATATATATATATCCAAAATCTATGAATTTACATGGAAGGGCCAAGACACAAAATAGCAAAACAACCTTCTAATAACTTTCAAACTTGCAGAGGATTGATCCGCCATTTCCTTACCATGACCTGAAAAAAAATGTTAAATATATGGGGTGAGAAATATGCTAAGTAGATGACACTTAAGACATGTCTCTTATGTCCTCGTGAATCTATACAAAGAATAGAGCAATGGAAGAAGGGATCATACTGTGCCGGAAAATACCACATAGCAATCATTCTCAAGTTTAAGCAATATGATATAATGGGAGTGCAATGCATGTTAATGTCGCTCCCCATTTCACATTCTAAAACCATCACTTTCAAACTGTTAATATAACCCGCCCTTTGGTGACCCCGCAGCGACACGAGAGGAGGATTGGCTAGTGTCCCTGACCCTTGGTACCTCCGCGGAGTCATTATGGGGCCCAGCTAGCTCAACCACGCTAGGGCGACTCCCTAGTCCCCTCTAGGCTATATTAACACTCCAGCCCTTTGGTACCCCCGCGGCAATCGGGTTTTTTCAAAAACACTTTCAATAAAACACCTTTTCCAAACTTCCCATTTTCTTTTCAAAAACAATTTCTCCCATTTCATACCCAATGTAAATGCATAGATGCATTAATGCCATGTCAATGTTCATCATTTTACAATTAGCTCAAATTCAACTACAAAGCATAGTTCATAAGAATTTCAAAAGAATTTATCACATGCTCACATACATCCATAATCTAGCATTTTAAGCATACACAACTCAATACATAAGCATGTTCATCACATGGATCATTTAATACACATAGTTCCACAATTAACAAAATACATAACAACTAAACAATTGTTTAAGAACCATCCAAATTAAGCATGTTAATTAACCATTTAGGAGAAGCTAACTCACTAAAGCACAAAAATATCATGGATTAAGAGCCCCTACCTCTAGATTGAGCAAAACCTTTGAAATGGGTCTAGAAATTCGAAGGCACAAAGGAACACCAAATCTGGAATTTTTGGTACACACGCGTGGAACTCGTCGTGCTCTCCGTTTTGCCTCAAACGGCTTCCAAAATACCAAGAATTGAATAAGTTATCAGGATTCAAAGTTTGTGCAAAAATGAAAAAGAAAATAAAGAAGAAAGAGAAGAAGAGAGAAAATGACGGGAAGAGAGAAATGAGAGACCCAAAAATGTGGTCTCTAGACCATATTTGGTTTAGTGGAGGGTCCCGCCACTATTTACTTTCTTTTCCCTTTTTCTTTTTCTTGCAATTTACACCACATGCGCATGTATATGCATCACCACTTAAATGCTACATAATCCACTTAATTTAAAATGTATGAAATGCAATTGTATCCAACCACAATCCCGCATGCAAAACTTGAAAGGACAGAATTACCCTTGCATCAGTGAAATTCCGGAAAAATGTTATAAGCTATGGACTTTTAAATTCTTACTGCATTTTGGACTGTAAATTGATGTAACTAAAGTGTATCCCTTGTTTGGATGAGATGGAGGAAAGGGACTTCTGTATGTATGTAGCCATTTTGGGAATATAATATAATATTTGTATTGTGCGTTGGGACATGATATGTTAGATTTAAGGTCCAGTGAGGCCATTGCATTTATTTTTTTGTATTTCAATAGGTTGTAGAGGGACTTTTTCTGCGGAGGTCATGCCGAAATTTTATATATTTTTTTATTATTATTTTGGTATCCTTTTGGGGCGTTACATTATGTGAGAGGGTGTGGAAATTTAATAACAAGAAGATTAAAACAAATAAATAAATAAAACTATGGGGTGGAGGCAATAGTGGGATTTTTTTGTAATTTCAGTAGGGACAATTTTCAAATTTTTTAAGTTGATAATTCAGAAGAAAAAAAATTGGTAGGTATAAAATAGCAAAAAAGAAATTAATTTCTGGCCTTCACTAGATCAAAAATCCAAAACTAAACTTAAAGTACTCTATAACACACCAAAAAATAAAAAAAATAATAAAAAATCTTGTACTTGAGGCATGATGAGTAGTTTTATCATCAATTAGGTAAATTTCGAGATTTAAAAATATTCTAAATTAATTCTTAAAAATTACAGGAGAAAAAAAAAATTCCTAAACTAAAAGTTGACACAAAAAGTAAAATAAAAGAAAAAATTACGATCACTGTCGAAGGAATTGAATGACACTTGGAGTTCTGATAGATGTTCAACACTTCCCGCTCTAAGAAGACTAAGCCTTTTCTTCATTTGTGTGAAAATGAGAGTTGACAGAGAGGCTGGAAGGGGTTTAAGAAGTGTTGGGAAGAAATTTTAGTTAAATGGTCTTTTTGCTCATACAAGTTATGAAGCAAAATTAGTTACCAAAAGTTATTGATTGGGTCACACATTTTATCATGAGCATGTGACTAAATGTGTGTAGGTCAACCCTCGTAATTTATAAGGTTGGAAGGTTGAGAGGCATCAAACAAACGAATTGTACTAGTCGTACATTAATTTTCGTAACTCAAGCGGTGGATAGAAGAAACATATGTGAACTGGTTTCCTTAGACCAAACATAAAATTTGGGCTCACATGTGAAAGTGCCCAAATTGTTATTGAACGGCTTACTTTATTCTAAAATCTGGGCTTACTCTGAGCATGACTGAATGCATATTTCGGTGTGCACTGTCACATCCAGAATTTTCTAAAAAAATTCTCTTATATCATTTCAATCTTTCTTCTTTTCTCGTTCTCGGCTTGCAGACCCTATCTCCGATAGATATTATATATATACACATATATATAATATGCAACAACTAAATCATAAATAATTAAATTTTCAATTGAATAAATCACCAAATCAAAATTAAATAATCAATCTTAATAAATTTAAAAAATTCGGGTTATCACAATCTTCACCACTTAAAAAGAATTTCTTCCCCGAAATTTAGATCCAACAATCTTCGTATACCCGAAAACAACAATAACCACAAAACAAAATTCATAAATCCCTACCCCAGGTGATGTGAGATACTATGATATGTAAGACGTTGTGGTAGTTACCAATGCTAGTCACCCGCCCACACACTCCGTAACCGTTGTGGTAAATAGTCGATTAGTCACCCGCCCACTAAAAAAAATAATAACAAACCCGGGCTACCTGCCCAATCATACTAACTAACCATCCCAGTAGCTGCCAGTGAACACCATCCACCCACACACACCTGGCTACGAGTGGTAGCTAGCCAGTACTACACACTCGCCCACTCACACCCATCTACATCATCACTACACTCACACTTCCGACTAGGTACAAGCTCTAATACCATTTTGTCACGCCCCGAATTTTCTAATAAAATGCTTTGATACCATTTCAATCTTTCTTCTTTTCTCATTTTCAGCTGGCAGTCCCTATCTTCAATAGATATTATATATATCTATACACACACACACACACAAACACAAACACACACACATGTATATAATATGCAACAACTAAATTATAAATAATTAAATCTCCAATTGAATAAATCACCAAATGAAAATTAAATAATCAATCTTAACAAATTAAAAGTCATGAAATAAATAAAATTAAAATCTTAAAAATCCGGGTCATCACATGCAGCCTCTCAGAACGCTCCATAATTCATTATCGGACACATACAGTTCCTTTTATTCTTGGTGCACCCGGCAATTTTCTGAACTTTTATTCCTCGTGCACCCGGCGATATTCTCCCGTAATTCACTATAAAGCACATGCAATCCCTTCCATCCCTCATGCATCGGGCAATTTTGAAAATTTTCCATGAGAGTGACCCCAAGGAAATTCGAATTACCTCCAAATTTTAAGGTATGAGTCTTTACCATCATGTTATCCCTTGATATTAAATGGAAACATATTTGATAATTTTATTTATTTATTTTGATAGTTCTAGAACTAGAAGTGTTCAAAAAACGACGTTTTCGTCTGAAAAAAAAAAGGTTAAAAATGCTCTTACATCATATAATAAAATAATAGTAAAAAAAAATAAGCTGCTGTAAAATGACGGTTTGGGACACGTACCAATTCCCTTCCCTTCACTCTACATTCAACGTAGCAATATCAGTTTGCAGAATCAGAAAATACTCTATATATACTATATAGAGATATATATACACAAGTAGAAATACCAGTCGATCAGCTGAGTTAGATGCTTATTATTACATTTAATTGAACAACTATAGCAAATGCATATCATATAGGTGCATGTGCATATATACTGTCCATTGCTGAAGCGCATTGTACTATACATTGAGAAACTTTAGTCCAATTTGCTGTGACATGCCATTCTCAAGGGAACTGGTGGATCTGAGAATTCTCCCGTGGAAATTTTATCAAAGACAAACTTAGCTGCTGCCTCAGTGTAGTGAACTCCATCCCAGTTTACTCGAACCGAGGGGCGTTCACACGAACCGATGAATATTTTGCTGCCATTAACAGTGACAGTATCTCCACAAAGTCCCACACTACTAAAGTTGTACCTCCCTCCATAGCCGCAGCAAGCAACAAGTGGATGCTCAAACCCTGCAGTTTATAAACATAACATAAATGACACATTCATATTTATGTCTATATTTTTATAATGTTTGTTCCTATGCTGATGCACTGTAAAACTATGTTTAAATTGGAGTTTTTGTTGTATGGCATACCATATTTTTGTGGTTCAGTACAGAGGGAGAACTTGACAGAGTACACATCAACATATGTGATTGCAGCTAGAGGAAGGTCCTTTCTGAGTTGCACAATGGCCTCCTTCAACCTGTAGTTAAAGTGCTGAGCTAACTCATTGTAAGGCCTCACGCAGCCGGCACTGTCCATTTGAGCTGCTGGAAAAGTTGCCAAGGTAGAGGGAAGGCAGCCAATCGGTCCTGTGTTGTGGATCCAAAACAATCTAGCTCCCAACTTGTATATATTCTACATCATATCACAATGTCATAGTTATAGCAATTCCATTACCACATTTTTAGTCATGCCCCTTTTTTTTTTTCTCCTCAAGTTATCAAATGTAACCCATCATAAGAAAGAAAAACTACACGTATGATATATGCAGCACTTTTGTGATGAAGATTATACCTTGATGTTTGTAGAGAACCTGTTTACTATATCTGGGACAGAAGCATTCACTTCCTCTATGGAAATGTTACTAAAGACACCTTGACCTAGGTCATTCTGACCAATATCAAATGTGTACAAGGCTTTTGGAAAATCTTCCAACTCGGGCATTAGATCCTTGTATATCCCTCCTACAAGTGTGATTGAATTCCAGATTAACAAATGGGTAGACATTTAAAGAGAGAATGTAGCACATATATATATTCAAAAAGTTCGAGCAAACGCCCACAGGCCCACAATATTGCACCAGGCAGGGGTCGAACACTCAACCTCCCATTGATGAACATAGCAGATTTTGAAATGAAATGGCACTGCGCAATAATATCATTTACCTATTTTCTTGATAATTTGTGATCTGTATATGAATTGTGTGAACTGCCAGTACTGTGCATCTAAGTAGAAGGGGCTGGCTCCGCCCACTGGAATAATGGACCGTGGTGGTGTGGTGGTTGCTGATGCAGTGGCGAAATTTGCACCATTGGTGAAGTTGGACCCCAAAGAATTGAGATAAGCACCGAGAAATGGGAGTCCAAAACTTGTAGCTGCAGTGGCACAATTTGATGACAAGGTAAACAAAATGGAAGAAAATGACAATTTGCTACAAAAAAAAATAATAATAAAAATAAAAATAAAAATAAAAAATAAAAATAAATGCCTCATTTAAAATGACAATTTGCTTGCATTAGCCATGTCCTCCTTGTTATTTTCACTTAATGAATACAAGTGTTTGATATTTTTCACCTTATGTCAAAAGGAGTGTCCATGCAGTTCCATGGACCTAACCACTGAAATGAATATCCCCAATCTTAGTCATGCTAGCCTTTTGCACCACTATAAAACATTGTAATGACAGAAATGTATGCCTAAAGTAGTCTAAAATTGAAGGTGATACTGATAGATACATACCGATGAAATCGATGATGAGACGTCCATCTGAGAACCTCCCTGATGGCATGCGAAAGAAGGTTTCTCCATAAGGTGTCTTGGTCCAATTGAAGGCTGCAGCAAGTCCACCAGTGTCCGAATTCGAGTCGCCAAAGTTAAAAATTGCCGGAAAATCACAACTTTGCATAGCAGAAACAGGGTTCAGGACAGTGGCATAGCACAGAAGAAACATGCAAAAACAAGAGAGAGGAGACACGGTCATTGTTGGACACTCAATGTTGTGTTGGGAATCTAGAGATGAAAAGTTTGGTTTGTGTAGTGTGTGACAGTATACTTTTCAATCACTTGTCAAAAGAAACTTCTCAATTTTATTCATAGCATGGTATTTTTTGGCTTTATTTCAAGCCCAAACTTAATCTTGTGTGTTCTTTGATTGATAGATGTGAATGTGATAACTAAATTTCAAAAAATTGTTTGGGATTAGTTAAAGGGTCTTTTTCTCATACAATGTCATATGACTTGACTTTCAAGAAAATTGTGTTACGAAGTGGTCAAATTATCAAGTTCAAGAAATGCGGGATTCAGACCATAAACATTGTTCAAGTGCAATAATAATTGAACCACCAAAAAAAAAAAAAAAAATGCACGAAATGTAATCAATAAATATATTCATGTGGGTTGCACGTGATAGATAAAAATTAAAGATTTGAAGAATTTTATATAAAGTCTAACATATTTGATAATAGTAATTGCAGGAGACAAAATAGACTAATTTTATATGGGTAGATGTTAATGTCATCGTGATGATAGTCAATTTTTACTCACATAAATAAGTCGGAGTTAAACTATTTTGGACTTCAAATCATTATTCATTTTATAAAGAAAAGAATGGACTCCAAATAATTATTCATTTTAGGGTTAATTTCACTGACACCCTCTCAGGTTTGGTCAAATATCACATTAAAATATCTTTTAAAAATAATTATCACTCACATTACAAACATTTAATTCATTTTTCATTTACATCTCAAAAGTTACTTTTCAAGTGTGTTAGATACATTTTGTATGTAAAATGACATTATTACCCTTCTAATTATTTGTTAACTTTAAAAAATATTTAAATAACTTGAATACCCTTTCACCTTTATTATATAAATTTATAATTATTCTTTACACACACGCGCATATATATATATATATATACAACCACCTTCAATTTAAAATTAAAGGTGGTTGTACATGATATATAATTCTTATTATGTACACCAACCAAATTATAATTATTTTTAAAAATTATTCTTTATATATATATATATGTGTGTGTGTATGTATACTATATATCATGTACACCAACTAAATTATAATTATAAATTTACACCAACCAAATTATAATTATGAATTTATCATTATTCTTTATATATATATTTCTCATCATCTACACCACCACCTTTCTCCACCTTTTCTTCTTTATATGCATCCATATATCTTTTTCTTTTTCTTTTCTTTTTTCTTTATTTTCTAATTTCCTTTTCTTTTCTTCATTACTGCCGGCAAACAATTTTTCTTTTTCCTTTTTATTTTATTTTCTTCTTCTTTATTACTGTCCGTAAAGAAGAGAGGGAGAGGCCATTAATAAGCAATTAATAATTCTGACCAGTAAGTCAGTAACTTTTAATGCCTTGTGTTATGATGCCATTGTTTGTCTGGCTGTGGCTGCTCATCTCCACACTGCTTCCATTATTGCTACCTCTACTGCCCTGCACCCCATGTGATCTAGGGAGAGAAAGTATATAGAGAAAAACATTGGAAGGCAAAGGAGGAAAGCTGCATAGCAAGATATGCAGATTACTGTGCAAATGATATGTTTATAATCAATCATATAATGCTCCGTTACTGGCCAATTGAACCCAAACCTGCCGACGTTGATGTAACAGCCGGTAGCAACAAGAGCTACCGAATGATGACCAGGAAACTTCCATGGACGGCGACAGTCGCCACCCTTCTCCCAAGTCTCTGACTCTCTGGGTCGCTGTTTGCGACTGAAGCTTTTCCCGCTACAACCCGCATCGACCTTATTCTCTGATCGCCAGGTCGCCTCGCAGTGACCTGGTCCCTCTTCACCGGCGATCACTTTGTCGCTGCTTCTCTCTCGACACCGGAACGTTGATAACAGCAACCAACATGGTCGCTAGTTCTTCTCATACACCAGCCACCTGGTTATCTTCTTCTTGGTGCTGGTTACTGCCCTTTCTCCTTATACCAGGTCACCCGCAGGGACCTAGTTTGATCTCCATGGACGGCGACCCGGTGGTCGCCAACCTTTATCATCAGTATGGGTTGCCATAATGGTCGGGCGGAGCCGGGATTTGAAAGTAGGGAGGCTAAAGAAAAATTTCAAACAGAGGATTTACTAGAGAAAAAAAAAAAATTCTAAGCAAAGAACAGTTTGGATTAGAAACATACGAAGGTACTTTTTCACTTTAAAATTGTGTTCGAAAGAGTAAAGATTAAGTGTTTATGATACTTGATACCAAGTTGAGTTTTGCCGTACAATTTGAGCAAGTTTTAATTGTTTATAAGTTTTAACATTCAAATTGATCACACGGTTCTTCTGCAAATTGAGAAAAAGAGAGTTCAAGGTAACAATGTGTTTGGGTTTGCAACAATGTGTTTAGATTAGGCTGGGCTAAATGTTTTTTTATGAATTGGACTGGGTTGAATGGCTGATAGGAAAATGAATACTAATACATGGGCTTAGTAGTACTGAATAATTTTTTTTAATTGGACCTGGGCCCAGGTTAGCCCATTCATGGCTCCACCCCTGATAATGGTGACCCAGAGTAAGATTATTGCGTTGCGGTTAATGCGACCTTTTGGGTGAACCCAAATTCATCAATGTTAACAGTTTATGATGATTAGGGTTTGTAGTGAGAGAAAGGTGGAGTGTGAAATTTGCACGGTAAAGGTATTTTAGTTGTGATGTTTTCAGTTTTCTACATTTTTCATTTTTTCGGTAATTCGTTGATGTAAGGGTATTTCGGTTTTTTCACATTTTGTGTACGGATTTTTAGTTGAGTCCATTGCACTTTGTGCATTTTAATTTATGTGGATTAAGTGGTATTTGTATGTAGTGCATTTATATGTGTGAGGTGTAAAATGGAAGAAAATGAGAAGGGAAAAGAAATTTAAAAGTGGTGGGAGCCACCACTATATCAAGAGTGGTCTAGAGACCACATTTCCAACCCTCATTCTCTCTCCCTGCTGAATCTCTCTCTCACTCTCTTGTTGTGCTTTTTCTTTTTCTTTTCTCTTTCAATCTTTGAATGAGGATATCTCACTCAATACTTGGTGGATTGGAATGCCGTTTGAGGCAAAACGGAAAGCACGGCGAGCTCTACGCGTTCATACCAACAATTTCAGCTTTGAGTATCCCCTTAGCTTTCGAAATTGGAGACCCATTTTAAGGGTTTTACACAAATTGAGGTAGGAACCCTTAATCCATGAAATCTTGTGCTTTAGTAAATTGATATACTTGATTTGTGTCTTAGAATGCTTAATTATGTTAATTATAGTTTAAATTGACTTGATTGAGATATATGAACATATGAGAATGTGTATTAAATATGTTGTATGAAAAGCATGCTTATATGATAACCATGGAACTATGTGGATTAAATGCTTTATGTAAAAAGCATGTTGATGTGTTGATTTTCATATGCCAAAAATGTTAGAATCTTGTTATATGCCGTTATGTGGTAAATCCTTTGGGAATTTTTGTGAACCATGCCTTGTTAGTTAAATTTGAACTAGTCGTGGGATTATGAGCATGGACATAGCATTGATGCATTCATGCACTGGCATTGGGCATGAAAGGGAAAAAATCGTTTTGAAAAGAAAAAGAGAATTTTAGGAAAGTATTTTAATGAATCGGTTTTGTGAAAACCCGGTCGCCGCGGGAGTACCAAAGGGCTGGAAGCTAAATATAGTCTAGAGGGAACTAGGGAGATTGCCCTAGCATGGTTGAGCTAGCTGGGCCTCATAATGACGCCGCGGGGGTACCAAGGGTCAGGGACACTAGCCAATCCTTCTCTCGTGTCGCTGCGGGGTCACCAAAGGGCGGGTTATATTAACAGTTTACAAGTGATGGTTTTGATTTTGAAAACGGGGAGCGACATCGGCATGCATTGCATTCCCATTGCATTATGTTACTTATATGGAGATTGATTATTATATTGTGGTTTCCCTACATGGCCTGATCCCCATTCTCATTGCTCTATTCTATGTTTGGATTCACGGGGACACAAGAAGCGTGTCTTAAGTGCTACCTACTGAGCTTTATGTTTACCCTATTATTTAATAATTTTTTTTCAGGAAACGGGAAAGAAGTGGCGGATGACTTTTCACCACAGGCCTAATTTGGATTAGAAGACTTCTTTTTGCTATTTTTGTATTAAGTTCCATATTTTTGTAAAATCTTAGTTTGTTATATTTGGTATAGAGATTTGTGAACTTTTGTTATTGTAACTATATTTTGGGACTGTAATTATGATAATTTGGATTAAACGGTATGTAGATGTTCCTCCATGAGATGAGCCATGTTGAGGTATAATGAACGGATGGATGGGATGTTGTAGTATATTAATTGTATTATGTGTTGGGTCAGGTTAGAGGTGTTTTGAAAGGGCAGGAAGGGTCATTGTGTTTTTTTTATTTGAGCAGGTAGTTGTAGTCCCCTTTTTAGGGGAGGTCATGCCAAAATTTTTTTTTTAAATGGTATCAGTTTAGGGTCGTTTTATTAGTCTTTTCAATTTTTTTATTTTTTACAATAAAAGTCGGGTAAAATTGACTTTTTTCAATCATTTTTAACAGTGTCATTAACTTAAAAAAGCATTTGGGGTCTGAGTGATAGTAATTTTCGAAAGTTGTTTCTATGTGATATTTAACCAAACATGACATTTTATAGAGAGTAGATTGTACGATATTGTAAGTGGTTAAAAATAAAAAATAAATAAGTGTCGTATTGCTCTAGGGGTTGGGTTGCTTCTCGCCAACCCCTTATCTAGGTAATTGCCTATATAGGAGTTTGTATTCGAGTCTTACACCCTCGGCCTTGATTTTAACTACTAACGCTAACATTCTTGTCATAATAATCATAATAATAATAATAATAATAATTAATTAATAATTTTCATTCAAAAAGACTAAAATGCGCCTATATCAATATTGGGTAATAG